CAAGAGCAGGTTGGATGGGGCTTGGAGCCATCTGGGATAGTGGCAGGTGTCCCTGTCCACGGCAGGCAGTGGGGACAAGACAACCCTTAAAGTCCATTATAACCCAAATTATTTTGTGATATCTTTAGAGGAGAGTTTTTGTTCTGTGCAATATATAAGGCAGGAACTACTGGCCATCACAGCATTATCTAGTCTGTTCCTTCTGCTAATGCATGGATTAAAATCTGCTCTGTTCTGCGTGGATCAGGTGGGACCCCTCATCACCCTCACTGCCCACACCCGTGACTGACAACCACTTACACCACAAAGTTCCCAAAACAGTTTATTAGCAAGAGAAGGATTTGAGGGCTGATGCCCCATGAGGCTATTCCATAAAACTTAACCACAGGAAGAGTGCCAACAGCCAAACTGCCCAGGTGTTCAGGAGAGTTTTAATATGTTAAAGGTTTTAGTGTCCCCTGGCATTAATTTTGACCTCATGAAATGAATTCTGTAAACAGAACATTGTTTGGGACCAGCTCAGTGGTTTTCAGACATCCAGGGCAAACCTGACAAATACCTCAAGGCATTTGGGTTATGCAAAGGAACTTTTTGAAGTGGCAGAATAGTTGCAGGGGGGGAAAGGCAGCAACAAAAGGAAGGGAAAACTTTTCCCATCGGTAATTGCCCGTGCAGTGACAGCAGAGCTGCAGCTGGGGCTGTGTTCTGAGGGCACAGGTCATGCTCTGGTTGCCAGCAAGTGTGAACTGGGCAGGTACCACAGCAGCATCTGGTCATTTCCCAAAATGAGCATCTGGAGCAGCTGCAGTGCACGGTGCCATGGAGAGCTGGATTCTGCTCCTCTCCTGGAGATGGCAGCAGGAGCAAATGCCCACATTGAGCCATTTCTGCTTAATCTCCACAGAACACAACCTGGCTCTAGGATTTATAAATCTGTGCAGCCTTTAAGACAGATTCTGGTGTGGCATTTTAAACCTTTGTCCTTAACCTCCCTTACTTTTGTCTCTACACTCTTTTGAAGCAGATACACCAGAGCAGCTCCTGGCATTTGTAGTTTGCTGCCTTACAGGCACTGCTTGTCTGCTGTCACCTCTCAGAAGGTGACACCTGCAGACAGTGCTTTTATCCCAAGCACACTGCCCTCCTGGGATGGTTTTTAGAGCTCTGCCTAGACATCAGATGCTCTTTTTAGCAGAAAAAAGGAACCAACAGGTCTGTTTATAACCCAATACCAGGCTCACAAAGTAGTTCTTCTTGCCACGTGTGTGCCAAGATAGAAAGAAAAGACAACCCCAAAGGAGCTGTGTTTTCCCAGTATAAAAACCTCTGCAAACTCCAATGACCTCAGCCTTCAAGAAAATAGTCTTAAAACCCACATTTATGCATTCTAAGTAGCAACTTGCTCTGGAGAGGCTGAGAGGAAATTTTGTTTGTTCCTCCAGCCCTGAAAAGTGTCTCTAAAAAAGTGTGCCAACCTTCACACACACCTTCACGTAATGCCAGGAAACAAAGAGCTTTTTGTGTTTATTATGGCTAAAAGCACAGGTAGAAGGGAATATCTTGCTATGAATACCTGGGTGGAGAGGAAAAGCCACATCAGGGAGGGAGAGGAGCCATTGAGTGAGGGGAGAGAGAGGACACAAGAGCAAATTGGTGCAGGTTGGTCCTGAACACATTTCCATTTTTTTCTTTGGTCTATCACACAGCCCAGGTAGGAATTGGTTTTCCCAATATTCAGATGATTTTTTAAAATATCAGAGTAGCTGGGTTCTCCCCACAGGTGGCAGGATTGATGTTGAGACTGTGCCAAAGTGACTGCTGTGCCAGAGAAGGGAGTTGCCTTTCCCAGGAGAGGCCAAACATCACCTGGCTAACACTGCCCGTGCTAAAACTCTCACACCTCCTTTAAAGGACGGCTTGCAAGGGAGCTGGAGAGAGAAAAATCCAAACGATTCACGGTTTTGCAGTGCTCCAAGATCCTGTGGAGGGTTGGCATGACCCTGTGCATTGGTTACATATTTATGAGAGAAAAACTACCACAGAGACCAATGCAGGAGGACAAATCAGTTCATGTCCTGGTGCAAAAGTCGAGTCTGAAAGCAGTCAAATTTGAAATAAAGGAGGGCTTTTCCCTCTTTCCACAAAGAAATGGAAGGGGGAATTATAACTACTTTCTGGATGGAGCAAACCCCTTCTTCCTCCTCTGCCAAATTTTCAGCTGGGGGTGCCTGTCTGTGAAGGATGGCTCTTGTCCAGAGGGTGGGAAAGGTTGTCACTCAAAATGCCTTTGGGGCAGCCTGAGGTGGCCTTGGGAGGCCAAGGCCAGCCAGAACTGTCCCTCTTTTTGTCTGGGAGCAATCCTTCCATGTTCCTGGGCTTCCTGGGAGTGTCCTGGAAGGTCCTAAGGTGTCCCAGGATGTCCTGGAGGGGTCTGGAGAGTTGGTACCATGGGAGTCCCAGGGGTTGCAGAGGTCCTGAGAGGTCCAAGGGGGGGTCGTGGAATTTCCTGGGGGGTCCTAGAGAGTGTCCCATGGGGACCTTCCAGGATCCACCCTGAGGACCCCCCATGGAACCCACCCAGAGACTGCCACAGGACCCCCTGGGACTGTCTGGGAGTGCCCAGGGAGGGGGGCTGTGAGCTGGAGGGGGTGACTTGGGATGGAGGGAGGTGACTTTGAGACGGAGAGGGGGTATTATTATTATTATTATTATTAATAATAATAATAATAATAATAATAATAATAATAATAATAATAATAATTAAAAACCAGCGACTGATGGCTTGAGAGGTTGCCTAGAAGAGAGGCCTGACAGTGTTAAAGGAATAAAGCAGAGATTTATTAAGAGTCCTCCAAGGATACACCTTGGGCAGTACAAGAGCCTGCCCGTGGCCACACCCAAGATGGATAGTGTGTCATGAGTTTTCAGACTTTTATAAGTTTTGGTCCATTTCCACATTGTCCAATTCCAGCTCCAGGTGATGCAGTCCCATTCTCCCAGATTGCTCTCCTTAATTTGCTGTTGTTTTACACTTTTTGGGCCTGAAGCTGCACTGGTGTCCTTGGTTCTCGGGCTGGAAAAGGATTGTTTTCTCTGACTGAACTGTGAGAACTTGCCAACACTTTACATGAAGTTCAGAATTAAATACTAATTGTTATGTGTAGTAGATATAATTCACACCATTTCTAATATGATATATGTGATATTGAATATTTGTTAGAGTATACATGTTTGTATTAGGATTCCCCCCCACCCTCGCAGGCGAGACTGGGTGTATTTTGGAAACTGATTTACAAGTAAGAAGGTACAGCTCGCCAGGGCCATGTCTGGGGAGATACAGAAACCCCAGGTGCTGATCATTCACGACCCGAGATGGATATCATGGAAATACTCGGGCAGATACATGTGAATCAACAAACTCCAGTCACTTAATGGTTCTTCCTCATCACCAAAAAGAAAATCTTATTAACATATGGACTCTGAATGGAAGAAAAGACTGACTGCTGAAATCTTGGCCTCAGGCGGAATTTTCCCTATAAAAACCGCTTGTGCCAGGATGGAGGTGTGAGCATGGAGGAAAACCTCTGCTGAGGCTGACTCCTTGTTGCACACCCGGGGCCGACCCCGGGCTCCGCTCTGTTCTTTCCTCATGGCTGGCTGGATAGAATTCGATTGCAAAATAAATATTTTAATTTTTCACATTAATTTGGCTGGACAAATTTTCATTTATAACACTAATGAAGTACAGAATCTGGAAAATAGGAAAGCTAAAACTGAAGGCATCACGGTTTCCCCCTTCCTCCGTGGATCCGCACCCTGTGCTCGTCCCCGGGTTGTACTCCCGGCTTCCTGCCCGCAGCCACGTCCCCATGCCCCTCCAAATCCTTCTGGGACCCTCAACCCCCCCATTGACACCGCCGGACTCTTCCCTTTGCGACCCCCACCCACTCTCGGGCCACCAAAGACCGGCGGGGCCCGGCGGGCACGACCCCAATACCCGCAGAGCCCCTCTTGCCCACTGGCTCTAAGATCATATTTTCATCTTCCACGTGTCACCAGGGCCGGGGGGACACGGGCTGGGGACACAGGGGTGGTGGCAGCGGGTTGGGGACACGGGGGAGGGGACAGGAAGCCAAAGCATCTCTGCCCGCTGGTGCTGGCCCGGTGCGGAGCTTCCTGCCCCCACCACAGCCCGACAGCGACTGGGGACACTCGAGGGACCGAGGGCTGGGGACAGTTGGGGTTTTTATTTTCTCTGGTCTGGTTTCCTCTCCAGATGAAGGAAACCATCATACAGGGCTGCTGCCCACGGGGGAAAGGACAGGGAGCTACTGCGAGTGGGAGAAAAAAAACCCTCAGCCCACTAAAATGGAAAAAATAAAAGATCAGAATGTTCGTCCTGATCTCTGAAAGATGAGAGTCAATAAATTACCGGGAATTGATCCATGGGATGGTTCTATTGATGGATTTCCAGATGTATTTGAAAATGGACGCGCCGTTTTGCAGAGCTCACAGCCTGGCTTTCCCAGCCCTGTGCGTGGAGTGCAATCACCTCAGAGAGAAGCCCTGGGGCCTCACTTCTCCTACCCGCTAATTAGGAGCTGTTTATTAAGCTAATTAATCCCTATTTGGTAGTCCTTGAGCTGCCTTGATCCTCTGCACAGGCCATGGGCTCAGAGGCTGCGGGTGCAGAAGCGGGGATAACGCCTCCTAAAATTGGGAATAGCCTCCCAGACAAAACCTGCCAGGACCAGCAGCTGTGGCTGGCCTTGGACTCCTGGAGGATCTCTAGACTGCCCCCGACATGGGGGACACGAGAGTGACACAGGGAGACGTGGGGGGAGCACAGGGGACATCGACAGGGACACTGTGGACCATCAGTCTCAAGTTCCGCTCCTCCAGCTGAATCTCAGATCATCCCGGCACCAGAACACCCCTTAAAATGCCACGTTTCGCCCTCCCTCTTCCCAATGCTCACCTCAAAAGTGCACTTCCCCAAGTGATTTTTAGGTTTTATTCGTTTTTTTATGTTGATTTCTCTCCTACATTGCCCATCTCGGGGAGATTTTCATGGGCTGTGGCTCTGCCCATCCCCGGCGGAGCTGCGAATTGGGATTTTTCCTGCATTAACGCTGGTTTTGGGGTGCAATGGAGGCTCAGATCTGGACAGATTCTTTGTGGCAGATCCACTGCAGCCTCGTGTCGCAGGTCTGAGGGCTGATCGCATTCCCCTTGAGCGTTCCACAGGTTCCAGGGTGATTCCCAAAGTCCAGTTGGAACCTGCGGGTGACAGGAAGGAGCCCGTGTCACCCCGGGGGTCCCTGGGGGACAATGGGGTGCCCTCCCGACCCCCAGTGCTTCCCCAGGCGCTCACCGGTCCTGGTCGAGGTCGGAGCCGTTCTCCCAGGTCCAGCCCATCCCAGCCACAGGCACTGAGAGGCCGATCCAGAAGTGCCGTGTGGGTTTCTGCAGGCTTTCATTCAGGAATTCCTGGCCCGGGAAAGGAGAAGTGATGACGCTGTTTTGGTCACCCCAAAACTGCCTCTGTCCTCATCCCAGCAATGAGCCCCACCCGTGTCCCCCCCACTCTGCCACAGGCACCTGGGGGAGCTTGGACACAGCGGGGGGACTGAACACAGGATTTTGGGAAGCCTTCCATGGGTGCATCCAACCCCTCTGGCAGCACCAGCCCTGCGGGTACAGCCGCATCCCACATCCCCAGCGCCACCATTTCCTTCACCAGCTCATCCTGATCCCAGGGCACCAGCAGCGCAGAGCCCCGGTCCCTGCAGTCCTCCCGGCTCTTGTTCCAGGGGTTCATCCCATCAGAAATCCAGTAGCACTTGGCCCCGATCAGCACCCAGCCCACGGCGCACAGCCGGCATCCCTCGCTCTCTGCGGGCACACGGGGCTGAGGCAGCGCTGCGGGGCCGGAGGGAATCTCCGGCCTCCCTTTATTGGGGGGAGGCTCTGAGCAGCCCCCCGAGGGGTGCATTACCTCGGGGTGGGCACAGGATCCTCCGCATCTCCCTGAAGATGGCATCCCAGTCCGAATGGGCAATTCCCAGCGAGGCGTTCCCGTAACCTGCGGTCCCCTTGAGCTGGCACTGCTGTGCCACCCACCAGGAGACTGCGAGAAGGGGGTGCCCAGCCCGGTCAGGGAAATCGGGAGTGGGGTGGGAAGGGGTGCCCGGAGCCCTCTGCCACCCCGCAAACTCACGGCAGAGCATGAGGGACATTGCCAGGGCAGCCGTCAGGGCCTTGAGACGGTGGGAACAGCAGGGGGATGCTGCGGGGACCCTCTGGGATCCTTGAAAGCCATACCCTGCAGCCAGGAAAAGAATATGGAAAAAAGAGCAGGCTCGGGAGCACCTGTCGCCTTCCCAAACCCCCAGACCCAAGGCAGGAAGTCCTGGGGCAAAGCAACTCAATGAGACCCCACCCCACCCCCGCACGAGGAGTTGGGTGACCCCAAAAACCCCCTCTGGTCCATCTTTTGGGGTCACGGCTTGGGGAGATGGGACAGCAGACAACAACAGCATCAAGAAAACCCCTCCAGACCTGCCTCCCTTGAGCCATGCCTCAGTTTCCCCACCCTGGGCAGCTCTTGGCGACTCCTGGGTGACTTCAGCCTGCACCCACCCCTCTCCAGTTCCTCTCCCCCAAAGATCGGGAGGGGACCAGCAGACACGACCCCAATACCTGCACCCTGCCGGGGTGAAGACCTCCCCGCAGAGCCCCGCTTGTACCCTCGGTCTAAGATCACGTAGCCGTTTTCGTCCTCCATGTGTCACCAGAGCCGGGGGGACAAAGGCTGAGGACACGGGGGTGGTGGCACCGGGTTGGGGACACGGGGGAGGGGACAGGAAGCCAAAGCATCTCTGCCCGCTGGCTCTGGCCCGGTGTGGTGCGAGCTGGTGGCGGGGCCGGAGCTTCCTGCCCCCGCCACAGCCCGACAGCGACTGGGGACACCCGGCCCGGGGAGGGACCGAGGGCTGGGGACACTGGGGGTTTGTCTCAAGATAAAGGAAAACCAGCATACGGGGCTGCTGCCCACGGGGGAAAGGAGAGGGAGATGCAGCACGAGCTACTGCGAGAGAAACATCCCTCCTTATCGCCGGAAAATTGTGGGAATAAAATACCAAGGTGCTGGTCCCGAAAGGCGCTGCCGGGCCGGACTCAGCCCATCCCTCGGCTCTGCAAACGCCGCCAGCACCGAGCGATGACCGGCCACTGCTGGTGCAGTGCTTTTATGCCATTTCACACCATCCTCTGTGTTTTATTCCCGTCACACCTCCCAGCCTCTCCCGTGCCGCTCTTTCAGCGCCTTATCCTTTCCTTATCCTTATCCTGTTCTGTTTCATTCCCACCTGGTTCCTCACTCGGGGCTCCTCCAGCTCCCTGGTGCCTCCTCGCTGCCTTCTGGAGGTCGGGGCCAGAGATGGGACACGCAGCCGGCCCAAGCCCCGTCTTCCCAACGGGATTCGCTCCCGCTAGAGCTTCTCCTGCTCCTTCCCGGCACTAAACGGAGCTTCCCCTCATCCTCTAACATGAAGCAGCCCCAGGTGTGACCACTGAGGAGAGAGAAGTGCCCCCAGTCCTGCCCCAGTGGCGCCCAAAAAGGGGGGTTATGAGGAGAAAAAAGGATTAAATTAAAGGAAACAACACCTTTTCTGTAATTGCCTGGGTTTGAATTGTGGAGGATCCCCATTCGCCGACAATTTGAAGGGTTTCAATTGAAGGAAAGCACACCTTTTTCATGATTTTGAGTGTTTCAATTGACTGGGAATCACTGTTTCCCATTATTTTCATGTTCAAATGGAAGGAGAATACCTTTGTCATGCTGATCTGTGGATTTCAATTGAGAGAGAGAGCCTTGTTTTCAAAATCTCAAGGTTAATATTGAGGGCAAACACCGCTGTTCCTGGTCTTAAAGGGCTTCCCCCTCTCTTTATGTGCTATTGTATGATCCCACTGCAGTATGCAGATCACTTCCAGAAGGACACATGAAGTGCCTCCCTTTTCTACCCCCCCATTCTTTTTAGCAAAAGCTTTCCCAGGACCCTGAGCTGCATCACCACCCCTTACTTTGGTGTCTTTAGAAAATAGTTAAATTCAGCAACCAGAAAGTTCAGGAATTTTTAAAAATACTGTATGGTTAGTGGGCCAAGGCATTTAGAGATGGATTTCCTAAGCCCTTTCCCGTTTCTTTCTGGGGGTAGCAGTGCTCCCCATCCCCTCCAGCCTGGCCCTTTAAGTTACTTGAGGCTCCAGGCTGCAAATCCCATTCTCCAGATAAAAGGATGGAAAAGCTGTTTCCCCCCTTCCCCCTTCTGGGTCTTTTCATTCTAAAGGAACTGCCTTTTCTCCCGCGATGGGAAGAGAGCGATCACCAAAAGACAGAGCAGCTTTCTGAGCATCCCCCTCCCGTGTCAGGACAAAGGGGCAGCTCCTCCACCCCTCAATGCTTCTGGCAGCTCTTTTTTTTTTCTTCCAGCTTCCCTCCCCTGCCGCCGGCCTTGGGCAAACCTCAGCTGATTTCCAAAGGCCCCGCGGCTGCTGGGGGTTGGCACAGAGGTTTAATTATTTGCCTTTGCCTGGGTAAGGCGGGGACAGGGAGCCGGTCAGGCCCCATCCCCGGACACTGCTGATCTTGCCTCTCTCCCACCCCCTCCCTGCCCTGCCTCCCGGAGCCCACCATGGATCCGCAGGCGGTCTGGGGATGCTTTTGTCTGCTTTGCTTTTCCCTCCTGAGAGCAGCAGAAGGTAAGAGAGACTTTGGGCTGGTTTAGCTGCAGGGACTCGACGGGGTCTGGATGCCCAAGAGGTGAGATCTTCATCCCAGCACTTACATTCCCGGTCAGGGACCAGGGACCATGGCCTGACAAACTGCCAGGGCATTTGGGGAGGGCTGGGTTATAACCAGGAGGGGCGACAGGACAGCACCTGAGCTCCAGTCGAGATGTAAGGAAGTGATCTGCACCAGCGCACGGCAGAGAACAGTTCACTGACAGCTTTGGGAGGGGCTGAGGGTATAAAAGGCAGAGCACCCATTTTGTAAAAGTGCACGTGGCTGATAGTCCCAGAGACCCCAGTGCTGTAATTTTCCCTTATTCAGTCCATTGTTGTATTTTTTTGTTAAGGTTTAACTGTTGCGGTGTGATTTCATGGATTACCCCAGGACCCCTGGTTCCTCCCCTGAAGGTGTCCCCCCAGGTGTGTCAGTCACTCCTCCTTTCCCCACCCTGACTCCTGCCAGCAGTGTCTGTCACTCCTGCCATTCCAGAAGTGTGTCAGGGATTGGGCAGGTTCAGAAGATGCCTGCCACCCCCGGGGGGCATTGGGCATCCAGGTGTCCTTTGTCCCCTGAGACCTCCTCTCCCATAGCTGGTTGGTGGCTCCCTATCCCTTCCCTTCTCCCCTCCTCGAGGAAAAAGGCGAGCAGCCACACGGTCCAAAAAGTTCTGATGGATGGAGCAGTGACTGCATTCGGAGTTCTGTTTGGAGCTGCTGCTGCATTCAGAGGCCTGTGGGCCAGAATGAAAACTCTGGATTAAACTCTCCATCACAACCAACTCCTTTCCTTCACCATAGCCTTAAAGCTTCTCCAGCGGAGGGAACCTGAGGAGCGACCCTCTGCGAGGGAAGCTCCATCCCGCTGCCACCTGAGCTCCAGCTTGCCTGGACGTGTCTCCATGTGCCCAGCTGTGACATCCAGCTAGCCAAAAGTGTCTCTGGGGTGAAACACCACAGCTGCCGCCATTGATGCAGCAGCAGGGGCCAGACAAGCCAGGGCAAGTCCTGTTCTCTATACTGGAGCATCCAATATTTAACAAACCTGTAAAATTTTGAAATTGAGGGTCATTTCTCACATCTTCAAAGGACAGTGCAAAAGTCTCACCTGCGGGCCAGTTTGTGATGATTTCCAAGAGCCCAGGGCGATTTGGATTTCCCAGTTGAGCTTGTTGTGTAATGTTATAAATAACAAATGCAGTTATTGGCTTTCGCATCTATCTATTAACTTTTGTCTCGCAAGCTATTACTGATCACAAAAATGCTGATATAGTACAATTTGTAATTACTACTTTTGATATAGTATAATATATGCACCATATAGCTTATTAATAAATAGCATTGTAATATAATTTTAGACCATAGCATAATAGAGACTGTGAAGTGTTGAAATTATTTTATCATGTAACTAACTCAGAAAATGGTGTAAAATCATTGATTTCCCACATTCAAGGACTATCTTATCTGAAAGACAAGAAAATGGAAACAGAAATCAGGGCATCCAAAAAAAGAATTTATTGATCCTTGCTATCAGAGAGTGAAAATACAACAAGATAGAATCACAAGAAAAAATTATATTAGTTTAATATACAAGAAAGCGTGAAGACAAGTCAAAGGTTAAAACCAAGCAAAAGAACATCTAAACTCAAACAATGTTTGAGTATGTACAAACGCATGAATATGTATATAGGCCGATAACATAACAGTACAATAAGAACATAGTTTAAGTAAACCATATGCAAATAGCCAAGCACCTCAGCACAGGAATTTGCCCCTTAACAAACTTCTATAAAAATTTTAAAGAGTCAGCCATGTTTCAATGAGGGCAATCCACTCACTGCAGGCAGCATCTGTGGCAGGATATATTGCAGAGACTTTTCCCCTGAGCACCCAGGCCAGCGCTGGCACTGGGGATGAACAGGCACTGAGGTGACCCTGAGAGTCAGTGCAAGGCACAGGGTGCAGCTGAGGAAGGACAGCGCTGTGCTGGGCTCACAGCTGGAGCTGGCACTGCCCAGCGTGGACAAGGTCCTTTCTGCAGCCCTGTCACAGGGCAGCTTGGGCCTTGCTGCAGACATACGGCCGCTCGTTTGAGCAGTTCTCACTCCTGAATCTGTTCTCAGCCAGGTACGCACACTGGGAATTGCCAAAGACAGGAACCCTGCAGGGAGGAGCAGAGACAGCGCTGGTTCCCAGGTATCTTAGGTTGGAAATAGGGGTATTCTATTCCCATCTCTTAGAGGTGAGGCAGTTCTCTTCTGTTCATTGGGTAGTTTTTCTTTATCTCTTCCACAACCAATCCCCCTCCAGGAGATCTCTTCTGTTCACGGGAAGTGAGTGTCCCTGTATGGCTGATAAAATTCCATCATCCCATGGGGAGTTGCTCCACTCAGAGGGAGAAGCCAAGCACTCCTGCCTGGATACAATCTGACCTGGGAACAGCACAGCAGCCTTTGTCCACTGCATTCCCAGAGGAGCAGCTTTCTTCTTCACTGAATTCCCAAAGGAAGCCAAGGCCCATCTACACCACCCCTGAACCTTCAGAGGAAAACTCCACTCTTCTCCAGGATCCC